ATGATGAGGATTCATTCCTCAAATAGTTTGAACTGGAGGGTGAAATTAAACTAGGGGAGCTTTGAGACAACAACTGCTCATTCCGGTTGGGTTCCACTACTTTGTTGTCCTGATTGTTGTGTGTTAGGACCCAGACTCCCTGTCGGTAAGGCATTGGAACGCCTGACTATAGGATTAGAAACCACGAGTCGTGTAGGCGAAATAAAGCCATCGTCCAAGGTTGAATCCGTTGTCATCTTCCATTATTTGCCGACTAGATAGGTCACAACATTGGCGATGAGGGTAAAACAAGACCAGAGTCATCGAGACGAAACGTTCGCGAGAAACATAGACGATAATGAACGAAACCATATCAAAACATTCGACTGTCATAGGGACCAAAACACGCTTGGCTTGCGATGGAAGCGGTGACTGACAGCATTCGAACTATTTGCAGACGGCAAAGGCTTAATTCTAAATGAAGACAACGCGAGCAACAGGCAGAGGAGACGTGCACTAATGTTCCATCTCGCAGGACCCGATGTTGAAGATATTTTCCTTACCCTGCCGAACACGGGAGATGTGAAAGATTAAAGGAAAGCGGTCGATGCCCTGAACGCATACCTTGCTCCCAAAGTCGGCACTAAGTATGCTAGACACTCTTTCAGACAGCTAATTCAAGCACCAGGGGAAACAATCCGACACTTTGCAACCAGACTCAGACAAGCATCGAAAGATTGTGACTATGGCGAAGACACAGATAACCAAATTCGTGATGAAGTCCTTTTCAAGTGCACCAGCACGTACATAAAACGAAAACTCCTGGAAGAATGTCAAGGTCTCACTTTAGCTAGAGCGCTTGAACTCGCCGAGAACTGCGCAAAAAGCGACGCACAGCTTGCTGCGATGAGCATAGAGGAAAAGGGAGAGAATTCAGCTAGTGTAAACCGCATAGAGGGAAAAAAGAGAGGCCATGGCAAGAGAAATCAATCATGAGGTACCAAAACCGGCCGTGAGAAAACTTGTTACCGATGTGGTAGAACCGGACATTTCGGTCGAGATTCTAACTGTCCAGCAAGAGGTCAATTCTGTCATCGATGTGGGCTCGAAGGACATTTCCAAGAGCAGTGCAGGACAAAGCAGAAAGGTGAAGAAAAGGAAAAACAAACCAAAGGCCGCAGGAACCCTAAGGGAGGTGCTGCAAATATGGTTGGTTGCCACAACGAAGAAGAGGAACCAGTGTATGCTTTTACGGTAGGAGGCAGCAATGAGGAGAAAATTGAAGTAACCGTTGGAGGTTGTAAGCTGAACATGATCATAGATTCTGGAGCAAGCAGTAACATCATTGACAAAGAAACATGGGAGTGGTTGAAGAAAAATAAAAGTGAAGTGTGAATCAGCTCGCTCGAGTAGGAAACTCTATGCCTACGCATCCCAGACACCACTTGATGTGACAGAAACATTCTCCTGTGAAGTCTCTGCAGGAAGCAACACTGCCAGTGCCAAGTTTTGTGTGATCAATGGTGAAGGAGACCCCCATCTGGGGAAGGACACTGCAACTAGTCTAGGCGTACTAAAAATAGGGATTGGCATCGCTGCAGTAAGTGCAGACCCAAAGACCATTGGTGGGATCCTGCAACAGAAGTACCCAAATGTTTTCAGCGGCGTTGGAAAGTTGAAAGACCGAGCAGTACAGCTCCACATCGACCCCAGTGTGACGCCGGTAGCATAGCCGATGCGGAGGACTCCGTTCAGCATGAGATCAAAGTTGGAAGAAAAGATTAAACAACCCATTGAACTAGACATTATTGAACCTGCACAAGGGCCCACACCATGGGTTAACCCAGTTGTTGTTGTCCCAAAGTCTGGGGGTGACATCCGTCTTTGCATTGACGTACTGTTGATGAGATTACTCAGAGCATAAGTGGCAGGAAGGTATTCTCCAAACTTGATCTTAAGTAGGGATACCACCAGCTTGAACTTTCCCCAGGATCCCGAGAGATTACAACGTTTGCTACCCACTGCGGTCTGTTCAGATACAAGAGACTATTGTTTGGTGTTAACTCTGCTTCCGAACAGTACCAGTACGAGATTCAGACGACACTTGCGGGTATAGAAGAGCAAGAGAACATTTCAGATGACATCATCGTAAATGGTTAAGACCAGAAAGACCACGATTTGCGGTTGGAAAAAGTCATCGTGAGATTAAAGGAACATGGACTGACCCTCAATGCAGAAAAGTGCCAGTTTAGCATGGATAAGCTCACATTCTTTGGCATGGTATTGTCCGGGAAAGGAATCAGCCGCACAGAAGAAAAGGTGAAAGCCGTGAAAGAGGCACGAGAACCTCGAACGGTATCAGAAACCCGAAGTTTTCTTGGGCTTGTAAACTACTGTGGCCGCTTCATACCCGACCTGGCAACGGTATCTGAGCCCTTACGTCGCCTGGCAAAGTCAGGAACCCCTTTCGTGTTCGGAGGTGAACAGAAGAAAGCCTTCCAGGAGCTAAAAGAGTGGTTGGCCTGTGCGGAGACTTTGGGGTACTTCGACAAAGATGCCCCAACTGAAGCAATTGCCGATGCCAGCCCAGTTGGACTGGGAGCGGTACTGACCCAAAAGCAGAATAATGGACCGAGAGTCATCTGCTATGCAAGTCGTAGTCTGACAGACACCGAGAGAAGATATTCGCAGACAGAGAAAGAGGCGCTGGCACTCGTATGGGCCTGCGAAAAGTTCCATCCCCATGTGTATGGTGTGCCATTTGATCTTGTTACAGATCACATGCCGCTGGAAGTTATTTACGGCCCAAGGTCAAAACCCTGCGCACGCATTGAAAGATGGGTTTTACGAATGCAGTCATTCAAATTCAAGGTCAAATATGAGCCCGGGCCGAGCAACATTGCTGACCCCCTCGTAAGGCTAGTAGCCAATTTAATAACCAGCAGCAGTCACTCAGCTGAAGCCGAAGAATAAGCCAGATTTGTAGCCATAAATGCGACCCCCTTTCCTATGACTACACGAGAAGTGGAAGAAGCCTCAGCAATCGATGAAGAACTCTGTGCAGTCAAGGAATGCTTAAACGGAAAACCGTGGGATCAGCTAGCTTACAAGAAATACCTCCCATGTAGTAGTGAACTGTGCAGAATCGGACAATTGAGACTAAGAGGGACAAGAATCGTTATCCCGAAGAAACTCAGACCCAGGGTGTTGTCTCTCGCTCACGAAGGTCATCTGGGTATCGTTGGAGCTGAACAGAAATTGCGCAGTAAAGTGTGGTGCCGCGGAATGGAAAAGGATGCTGAAAAACATTGCAAAATCTGCTATGGATAACAGTTAGTCAGCCGTCCCAGCCCATAAGAGCCTATCAGGAGCACAGCATTCTCGACTGGACCATGGAGAGATTTGGCAATTGATTTGCTCGGGTCACTCCCCACTGGTGAGTCCATTCTGGTCGTCGTTGACTACTATAGTCGCTATTACGAGATTGACATCATGAGATCCACAGTTGCCTCTAAAGTCATCACGAGTCTGGAGGAGATATTTGCAAGACACGGTCTACCTGAGAGTTTGACATCTGACAATGGACCACAGTTCGTAGCAACAGAGTTTGCAGAGTACATGGAGCAGCAGGGAATCAGACACCACAGGGTAACAGCAAAATGGCCCCAGGCAAATGGAGAAGTTGAGCTCCAAAGTAGCTTGCTTCTAAAAAGGCTCCAACTCGCACATGCTGAAAAGAAGAACTCGAAGAAAGAGCTGAATGTTTATCTTGCAGCGTACAGAAGCTTACCTCACTCAACGACTGGTGTAAGCCCTGCCGAGTCGCTCTTCGGACGGAAAATACGCACCAAGCTTCCTGCGCTAAGCGATGTACATGTCGAACAAGAAGTGCGTGATAGGGACAATGAACAGAAGAGTAAGAGCAAAGCGTATATACGCTGACATGCAAAGGAATGCGAGGTACTCAGAGGTACTTCCTGCAGATCAAGTGCTAGTGCAACAAGAAAGGAAAAACAAGCTCACAACCCGTTTTAAACCATGGCCGTACACTGTGGTAAACAAGCATGGGAACAGCTTGATAGTGCAATCTCCAGGAGGAGCCCAATACTCCCGCAATACATCTCATGTAAAGAAACTGCTAGAGAATGGTGATACACATGTTGATACACCAAGTATACCGGAAGTGGTCGTGACCGGACAGTCCCACAAGCAGGATAAACTGACCCCGCAGCAGAGTGTGGTGATACCAGAACCAAATGTTGTTGAGCCTTAAGTTCCACTTAGGAGGTCCCAGAGACGCAGAGTGGCCCCAAGTTATCTCAAAGACTATTGTACTTCAACTTTAGAGACACTGAATCCTCAGAGACATTGTTGACATTGTTGCTAGTCCATGTTTATGTTTATTGGACCAATTATTATTTTGGTTCTACTTCTGCTTAATGTTATTGTTTCTATCTAAATGGGGAGGGATGTTGTGTATTAGGACCCAGACTCCCTCTCGGTAAGGCATTGGAACGCCTGACTATAGGATTAGAAACCACGAGTCGTGTAGGCGAAATAAAGCCATCGTCCAAGGTTGAATCCCTTGTAATCTTCCATTATTTGCCGACTAGATCGGTCACAGCACTGATGGGTCTCTCCTATGTGGGCCCTGATGCGTCTCAGCTCTCGCTACCAGTTCTGGTCGTTAGGGCATATGGGCGAAGAGTTGTATCGAGAGTGAAAAGATCAGCTTCAATGGTATGCCATGCCCTGGGGATATCTCTGTGGGGATTAGAAGTTCCTTTTGTTTACTGTACTGGAGTTCCTCACAGCTACTGCATGCTTTTGTGGTAACTTCTATGTCATGGTACAAGCCGTCTCCAGTAGAGGTGCTGGCTCTTAGCTTGATTCTCCTTGTTACTTTGTGTGGTCTGTGGAGTTTGGCGAAAATATATTTCTGCAGAGTCGTAGGAATGATAACTCGGTGGGCTTTTGGTGAATATTCTGTCTTCGCTTGCTATCTGGTCTCTGAAGGGCCAGTTTGGCTTTAAGAGTGTTAGGTGCTGTTGGATGTGGGTAAGCCAACCTTCGCTGATCATTTCTTTTAACGCACCGAGTTTCGCTTCCAAATTTGCTCTGTTCTTTGATCTTTTGCAACATTTTATTACAAGCTGAGGGAAGACCACATGAGTTTGGACGTTCATTTCGGGAATGGGTTCATGACTCTCTGTTGATAATTTTGACAGGGCATCAACTACTTCAATGTCTTTGCCTGGTGGGTTACGATTGGTGGGGTCATATGGTTGCAACCTTAGCAGCTTCCGCTGAGGACGCGGAAGAGGAGCTGTCAGGTGTTTAAGATTAAAAAAGAGAAAGCTGAAAAACGAAGTCAAATCATAGGTAATCAATCGACTGCTGACTACCCTCCCCACCACTCCAACCAACCCACAGGTGCCAAAAGAGGTCTTCGGATCCTTCGAGATCAGTCATATAAAATAATAAACAAAGAAATGGTGCTTCGTTTACTTACAGTGTTTGCAAGGCAAGGAGATTTGAAAATATCCCTGACGGGAGCTCCTTGATCTCGTTGTTCCTCAAATTCCTGCAGGAGAATAAATGAACTTCATGTGCATTATATTAAAGGAATCATTGAATGTTTTTACCTAGTCCTCAACCATCAAGTAATAAGCGTTACAATTCTTAGTTACCAGCTGAGTTGTATAATGTTCTGTAACCAATATCGTCTCGCCCTGTATCGTGCTCAAAGGAAAAGTGAACATGCATTTCATTTTCCCCACGTCAGCCAGTTCGTTAAGCCTGTTAACAGTGCAACGCGTGTGTTATAATTAATTGGAACAAATCTATTGAATTGGTATGCGCAGGTACCATAGGTCAAGCGGGTTTTTTTTTCTTTTTTTTTTCCCAGATAATGAATGTAGCAAGCCGCTGATGCATGCAATTTATTTCAATAGAACGCGCGTGAACATGTTAAGGAGCATTTGATTTAAGAAAATAAATATTTTCCTGTGCATTGTGGCGTTTTGGCAACACTTAGTAGTACACTGGAGATTCGGGAATAGTGCTTCTAGCGTGACTCATATTATGTGTTTACTCAATATTATCGTACTACCATAAGGAGCTTCAAAGGAACATACAACTATCACCAAGTCAAACCTCAGCCAATTCTAAACGCGGTAGTAACACCGGGCAAAATACGCTTTGGGACAAGGTTAAGCTGATTTACCGAGACCCTCATTGTTGTTGTTTCAGACTTTTCTAGCGTTCTTCGCAGCTTTCACATTGTTCTGTGTGCATTCCTCTTATTAGTTGGTTTTTGCTACTCGATCATTAATAACAATAATAGTAAACTGGTACAATAAATAACAAATCTGAAATTTGAAATACCAATTACTAATTCACCATCTGAACTCTTTAATTAGGCACTGTAATTTGTGATTACACTTAAAAAAGATGATGATGATTCCAATATTGAGAGCTATTGCGTTGAGAAAAAAACAAAACAAAGACACAGGACTAAAAATGGCCTGGTTATGGCCTTTCTGACACTCTATATAACCTGACTATTTGCGAAAAAGATGTCATTTGTGTTCAGTCATCGAACTGTCAACATGATTTACAAGAGAGTTTGCACAAACTGTCCGATTTCATCGTGTGGGGCGAATTACCTTGTCAGATAAGCTAACCATCTCGCGGATGTTCATTAGTTAGACCACATAGAGCAAAGACAGTATTTACAAGAGGCGAAACTGCAACCTAAAGTTAAAGTCGTCGTTTACGAAAGTGAAGCGGATAATTCCGGAAAAAAATCACTATCGCAATCCAGTACAGACACAAGAAACGGTGTACGAACTGTCAAGATCACGGAGAAATGAAGCCTCTTTTAAAGCAAAAGCCATTGCCAGAAATTAGGGACAAGATGGCGGTTGCGCGTGCGCACTAAGGCCACAATGGCTGCGAATTCGTATAAGAAAATGTATGGAGATAAGGAAACTTTTTCAAATATATCGATTATGAGCTCACGGGTGTTCGGTGCCCGACTCGAAACATGTTAAGTGCTGTGTAACCCTCGCATCTGGGTTAAAAATAGCTAATTAGAAGTAGGTTTACTTACTTCCTGACGTGGCCACTTTTATTCCTTGTTGTACGCTCCATTTCTCCATACATTGTCTTAAAATCTTGCCGAAGTCATGCGAAATACTCGTCGATTAGAGGATAAACCCTTCACTGAAGTAAATTTGCCCGACTCGATATCACTTCTGCGATGGAAGATGTTTCCAAAACAGTCGTTAAAAGGACGATTTTTGCACTGCAAAATACTTCCAAAGGCGCATTATTTCCCTCAGTTTTCCATCTGTAGTCCAGTAATGGACGCCATGGTTGCGAATGACACATTTCGGTCGGACACAGCTTCACAACTCCAAACCCCACAGAATCGCCATTTTGTTTGTTGCTACAACTCCAGAGATGCTTCACGGGATATAAACTAGGTTCCAGGCATTCAAAAATCCTCGATTAGCCTACCAGGCTTGGTTTTAAAACAAAATTGTCACGAAAATGTCACGAAAGGTACATCCGCGTACTGTTTTGTTGCTATCAGCCGCTCGGCCGCGTATAAACCTAACATTTTCTTGCAAGGTGTTTAATTCCAGCTTTTTTCTTCGTAAAACAGATCCACAGAGCTCAAATTATTTAAAAAATCGCAAGGGATACGCTTTCCCTGACTACGATAGTTTTTGTCCGCCATTTAAAAATGAGATTCCGCTGACAATTGATCACGGGCGCGAAATGTCCACGATTTCTGGCAATGTAAAAGACCGACTACAAAGAACAAGACAAAGCGCAAGAAACAAAGAAAATCGAACCCTTGCCTTAGAGGCCATACGAAAATTGTGTAGACACGGAAAGATTATTCATTATTCCTCGAGATTGAATGGAAAAAGCGGATTTGTAATAGTCAGTCAAAGGATTAATTTTCATTCCTTTTCCTTTCAAATCGTTGTGTATTTGACTCTTTTTGTAATTGTTTTTTAAGAAAGTTTTTAAAACCGTATCTCTTGCCTGGTTCAATTGCTAGCAATTATTATTAGTCGCGAGTTTCAATTGATCCTTGTTAAGTTATTTAAATAATACGTCAAGATGCTTCCTTGGGTTTTTCCTATAGAGATGAACTAATTTGTATTCAACTTTGGTCTTTTGAACTCGCATAATTAACTGACTAACGGTGCGTGAAAATGACACGACTTTAATAGTTTTTCATTTCATCGAGATAGAAAAGAAGAAAACGGTTTTGCAATAGTCAGAAAAAATTGAAAAAAAGAGTTTTCAGCCCATAGCAGTGATGCAGCTTTTCTTTTATTAGTCAGTTGGAATACATGACCGATAAAACTGGCTATCTTTTGACGCTTGACTTTTTCCACTTCGTCAATCGGCAACAGAGGTGTAGCGCTCGATTCGACTTTTTTCAGAGCAAACTGAACTTTTAAGAATAAAATGTTGAACGGAAGCCGCGCTTTTATTTTGTAGACATAATAGATTCTCCATGAGCCAATCAGGGTTAAAAGACATCGGGCAAGTCTAGGCAAGTCTATTGCGCCTATTGTATTAGAGAGACGCTCATTAGTAAACCTATTCACTTCATTATATATGGAGGAAGAGCCTCATTAGTATGGAGGAACACACTTTTTCGTCAGGTTATAACAATGGGTGACGTCATATCAATGACTTACCTCGACCTACCTCGACCTAATTCGACAATTACTCGACACCAAAGAGGCTTAATTTTCAACATATTAGACTACTGGATATCCAAACTCCTTTTCTCCCACTAGTTATACACAACTTGCTGTCGGAAGAAGCTGTTGTAAGTGTCATCGCCCAATGACGCGCACAAAACTAGGACAATTTGCGAACTAACACTCCACACAAGGGCTCTCAAAAATGTTCGTGACAACTTGGTTGTCAGCAAATCCCTGAAGCTTTTGTTAAGTGACAATAAAGAAACAAGTGTAACGATTTCGCGAATAATATTATCCATATGGAACTTCCGACAACTTACCTGGAGGAATGCCAGAAAATACAATAGGCAATGCAATCTAGCCAATCAGCGCAACGTCCCTGTCACAACGCGCCAAAAGAAAATTCCTTGGCTGACGGCGGTTCGTCGGCGAACACTCTTGGCGTCTTGTTGCTGTGAATATCGTTTTGTTTTGCTGCTGTTTTGTTTTGGCTTCTTGTCTGGGCCATTTAAAAGGAACATGTATGACAAAACTGATAAAAGTTTGTATTGGAAACAATCAACGTATAGATTCTTGAAATGTACAAGCACTGAAACTTTGGACAAGAATAAGAAAACACTGATACTTGTCTTTAGATGTTGGCATTATAAAAAAAAACGGACAAAGTCTGCGGAAATCGTTTGAGGTAATGAATGAAATGTGACCCTCCACAGGAATTTGATGCTAAAGGTGAAAGCACGCGCACGACACGCTTGCACGACACGCTTAGCGTGCCGTAGTTCACGGATATGCGCATATTAAATTGAAAAAACAAAGACGGACACACTTGCCTTTGTTTTGGCAAATTTAACACGCTAGACCTTTTGTTTTTTTGTAGCGTGCCATATGTCACGGTAAGTGTGCGAATTATAGCACGGTTAGCGTGCAATTTGGGTAAGACACGCTGAACTCGCTTGATTACTAAAACTGCTAAGATGACAAAAACGGCTAGGGTTTTCAGCGGATTTAATCAGCATTGATAACTGGTCGAAGTGAATCAAATATACCAATTGAGACTGTTTTGGAATTTGATAGTAACCGTGGCCATTTGAAAATCACGACTTAATGGTGGTCTAGCCTGGAATTAACGCGAGATCAGTGTAAACCAATTCCTCCGGCTGTCGGCTGTTGACCGAAAACTCATATTATCAGGTTTTGGACGACATAACTTCAAACGACATCACTTTCGAGTAGCTTGACCGTCACCCCTTTAGATCGAACTCGATGAATTAATTCAATGACCGAACTTTATGGAACAAATGATTGCCTTCAAGAATTTCACGCGGACTACTTATAATTTAGTTCTTTTTCTCTTTTCTCAGTGTGTGACTGACAGAGATTTAATTCTCGGATCGAACTTTAGTACTCTAAACACGCCGTATTATCGTGGCAAAAACAAAGAATCAAACAAAAAAGCACCATACAATTTCGGAATTCTGTTAAAAAATACATTTTTTGCTTACTATTCAAAAAGCGGTGAAACAGTCATTAATTAACTGATCATGTTTCGCTTTTTGTGTTATTGTCGGCCGGATCAATTAAGCAATGTTGAAAACGTTTTGGAATTTTGGTACATCTAGAAAAGCAGGCTGGTTTTTATTTGATCACTACGATGCTTGCAATCGCTAAAAAATAAATAGAATTTAGTGATCCTGGCACTTGATGATTTCTATTATATTTGATCGCGATTGCTGCGTTTGGCAAGAAAGTGTCTTAAGACCGAAAGATCACTGTTTCTGAGAAAATTGCAAATGTGTTTTAAATTAAGGAAAGTTAAGATAACCTTTGCACAGCTTCGTCAGCAAAC